ATGCATCAGATTGAATGAGGCCTAATTTAGACCGAGGGCCTTTTCCACATTGAAACCTCTTTGCCTTCTATTAAAGGTTTTGTGGACGAAACATGGTCAAGACTATCAGGTAGCGCTCACATTTTGTTGAGGCTTTAAACAGGATCCATTGGACCAGATCTCTACCATAAAGATTACTTTTCCCCAATGTATTACAGTGCCAATTCTGAAGAAGACAAAACCAAAATGTATTGGTAAATTACAAGGAAGAACACACACACACACACACACACACACACACACACACTCCCTTCTAACCTTGCTGGAGCAGGTGATTGGACTAGAATAGATATCTCATTATCTTTCTCTTCCCTCCCTCCCTCCTTCTTTATTTCTTTTTCTTTCTGTCTTTTCCATCCACCCCCCTCTCTTTCTTTGTCCCTTTTTCTTTCTTTCCCTTTTCTCTTTATTTTTTCCTCTCTTCCTCTCTTTCATTTCTCTCTCTCTTTCCCTCTCTCAGACTCATCCCTTTGGATCAGGGGTCACCAAACTTTTGGACCTCAGGGACCACCAAACTCATAATTTTAAATCCCGGAGACCACTAATATGAATTTTGACAGATGGTGGCTTTCTGGCATTGATGGGAGAGACAGAGAGAGAGATCTGATCCAACCTCTCTCTCTCCCTCTCTCTCACACACACAGGCAGGGGTGGGATTTAGGCCTCTGATCTAAAGCTGTCAAAACTCTGAAAACTGGTCAAGTAGCTCTGGGGAGGCCAGTCATAAATTAGAACACTTGCTAAACAACCGGTCATTAAGTGAGGACCACTTGTATTTGGTTTGCCTGTCACCTGACCATGCCCACCCAGTCACCTGACCAGCAGCCATGCCCACCCAATCATGTGACCAGCACACCACACCCTCAAATTAGGCCACACCCACAGAAATTTGAATCCCACCCCTGGTTGAGAGGCATCGAGGATGAGTTTGTAGCACCAAGGGGGCAGTGGACCAAAAAAGTTTGGGAACCACTGGTATATACAGTCCACCTTCCTTTAAGTTCTCAGATGGAGAAATTGCAGTATATTATGGCCCTGTATAGGGGATTTTACATTCTGATTAATTAATTAATTAATTAATTAATTAAGCTAGAGCATACAAAACATTTGCTAGACCAATACTCGAATACAGCTCATCAGTCTGGAACCCACATTACGTATCTGATATTAGCACAGTTGAGAAAGTCCAGAAATATTTCACAAGAAGAGTTCTCCACTCCTCTACTCGTTGTAGAATACCTTATGCCACCAGACACGAAATTCTAGACCTAGAAAACCTTGAATTACGCCGTCTTCGGTCTGATCTAAGTATGGTATATAAAATCATACATTGCAATGTCCTACTTGTCAATGAATACTTCAGCTTCAACCATAACAACACAAGAGCATACAATAGATACAAACTCAAGGTTAATAGCACCCAAACTTGATTGCAGGAAATACGACTTCAGCAACAGAGTGGTCAATGTCTGGAATACTCTACCTGACTCTGTGGTTTCTTTCCCAAACCCCAAAGATTTAAGCTTAGACTATCTACTATTGACCTCACCCCTTTCCTAAGAGGTCTGTAGGGGGTGTGCATAAGTGCACCAATGTGCCTACCGTCCCTGTCCTATTGTTTCTTTTATTTTTCTTATATGTACCCATTTCATGTATTCATAACTATGTACTGTATATACTTATACCTATTATCTTATAAGTTATTGTCAAATCAAATAAATAAATGAATAAAATAATTCTATATACTTCTTCCAGCAACTCCACTGAATGTCATCACCTGGATAGCTCCTAAATCTAAAGTGTTGTGAGTAATCATTGCAATGGGTAGACCAGGCCGAAGCCACACAAGTCCGATGTTTCCTCTTTGCATTGTGTGAACTGGACCAAAGTGACACAGGCCGCCCCCTTACATTTTTCAGGAAGGCCTTGTGGCCTGATCTGACCAGTTTGACACCCCTGATCTAGGTAATGTAAAAAAAAAAGTCAATATGGTCATGACCATGCAGTTGAAATGCCACCATTTTGTAAATGCATGTGACATCAACACTTGCAAAAGTGGTGGCCCTTCAATTAAATGGTCATGATTGTTTATCTCCCTTCTTCATGCAGATGCATCTACAATTATTTTGTAATGGTTTGCTCATGTATGTTGCCCAGAGTCATGAAAGTAGGGTGTATTTTAAGTAACAGCTAATAATGATATCTCAGAATGGTTTGTCTTCAGTTTGGCCTTTTATGTCTCTCAGTGCTAGATTTTTTTCATTCATCTATTGAAATAGACTTTAGCTCCCAAAGTAACTTGAGAGAATTAGTTTGATAAAGTGGTTAAGGCACCAGATAGAAATTGAGTTGCTGAGTTCCAGTCTTGCCTTGGGCAGAAAGCCAACTGGATGATTTCAGGCCAGCTACTCTCTTTAAGCCCTAGGAGGGAGTCAAAGGCAAACCAATTCTGAAAATGGGGCCCTGGTGGCACAGAGGTTAGAATGCAATATTGCAGGCTACCTCTGCCCACAGTCCGGAGTTCAATACTGATGGGCTCAATGTTGACTCAGCCTTCCATCTTTCTGAGGTTAGTAAAATGAGGGCCCAAATTGTTCAGTGTAATATGCTGACACTGTAAACCACTCACTGTGTGTGTGCTGTGTTTATGTGCAATTTCTATTGCTAAAAAAAAGAAAATGGCAGAAATTGGGCCAGGTAATCACCAAGAATCAACACTTCATGGTGAGGCATACTCCCCATGCCTGGATAGAACCAATGTGGACTCAAACTGAGTAGTACAAAATTATATTTCAAAATCAAAATCAAGTGAGGAATCTACCAGTGGTGGGATTCAATTTTTTTTACTACCAGATCAGTGGGCCTGGCTTGGTGGGCGTGGCAGGGGAAGGATACTGTAAAATCTCCAGTCAGAGGTAGAATTTGCCGGTACTCCGAAGTACTCAAAATTTCCACTATCAGTTCTCCAGAACGGGTCAGAACCTGCTGAATACCATCACTGGAACCTACCTTTCAACATTCCATGCCATTCATGTCAATCCAGGTGAACTTCAGTTTTGTCAAATATCAGGCCAGTGATCAGATGCCCAAGCAATTGTTCCTTTTGGATCCAGAGGCAATAAGCACACCAGTCAATATAATTTAAGCTTTAATATTACTTCAAGCAAAGATCATTAGAATTATAGTGTAAAAAGCATGCACAGCAAGGAAGATGATACCCAAAGCTGTTAGTTAGGGACTCTTTAATAGTGACATAAAGACAGTATAGTATTGTTTAAAGACAAAGAGGTGAATATAGAAGAAGCCCAACCAACAGGAAAAAATAAAGAAATAAGTACAAATTGGGAAAATAGTTAAATATATATTGATACATAAAATAATATATTATAATTATAATGAGCATATTAAGGTTAGAAGTTGTAAGACAAAACCTATGTATATGTTTTTGTATTATTACTGTTAGAATTGTTTAAAAAAATATATTAACCCAGTCGTTACACTGTCCACAAAAAATGTTGGTTGTTAAAGGAAAACTACAAATAAAACATATACCCCCCTCCCCCCAAAAATAGTGACAGCGGAGATACCCCCAGGGTGGCCCATTTCCACAGTACCCAGTGTTAGGTTCTATGCCAAACCTCCCAGGTTAAAGGCCCATAGGTAGAATGTAGTATTGCAGGCTAACTCTGCCCACAGCCAGAAGTTTGATCCTAACCAACTCAAGGTTGACTCAGCCTTCCCTCTTTCCAGGGTCAATAAAATGAGGACCCAGAATGTTGGCGGCAATATGCTGGCATTGTAAACAACCCAGAGAATGCTGTAAAGCACTATGGAGTGGTATATAAGTCTAAGTGCTATTGCTATTAGGAGTTATTCTTTAAACTTGACACCATGACTTCATGGCCCTGTTTCTATGGTCATAAGAGTGCAAGACATGACTTTCCTTGGACAGGAATTGACATAAACGAAACATACAAACCCAGTGTGCAAGACTTAAGGGATCTATAAAGTCACTTTATGTAGTCTAACACTGCATTCGGAGGACACCCTGTTCAGTATGTACTATCTAGTAAAATTTTGTAATTTGTTTTGAGTCCAGGGTTGTGATTCCACACTGGATATTCATGTTAACTGTAGGTCTGAGGGGAAATTGAGGTGCCTTGGAGTCTTAATTAGAAGACCTTGCACTCTTGTATGTATGGCAGGGGTGTCAAACTCAAGGCCCAAGGGCCGGATCCAGCTGGCAGGGTGCTTAGATCTGGCCCATGGGGTCACCTTGGAAACAGTGATGGATCAACCCATAGTGCCTCTTCTTGGGAGCCCATTTTCACTGGCAGAGCACTTGGCCACCAAAGGTGCCCCTGAGGTCAAACACAACCCTGATGAAGCTCTCAATGAAATTGAGTTTGACACCCCTGACATATGGGGTCACCAGAAGGCTCAGAGAAAGAGGAACACCTTACACATCAGAGTGTGTGTTGGTAGGTGAGCATTCTGAATTCTGTAGCTGGGACATCTCATATGCCTTCTGTCAGGGCTTCGACTATACACCCCCATTCGAAGTTGTCACCTTCAGCTGACTGACCAACATATTGGAGAGAAAATGAGAGAGACAAAGAAAGACAGAAAGGAACATCTTGCACATCAGAGTGTGTGAGTAGCAGACGAGGCGAATTCTGTAGCTGCGACACCTCAGAGTGACTCTGATGCCTTCAGCTGACCGATCAACATTTTGGATAGAAAGCAAGATTGATAGACAAAGAGTTATGTGTGTGAGAGAGAATGTCTGCACAATTATCTATATAATTAAACTTAAAGGGAAAAAAAGGAAATATGTGTAAAAACTGCTGGTTTATTTCTATTGCAATGCAAAAAAAAAAACCCTCCTCTCTCAAAAACAGTCACTGCAGCAAGTAATAACAGTCATATTTTGAGAGATGTACTCAAAGTTAATTACTATTTTATTTTGACAGCAAGTGTTCTTTTGTATTCAGGTTTGGTCTTAAAAAAATAATGTAGCATTTAGGAATGAAGATGCAGCATAGCAAACCAGTACTTGAAGCCAAGATGGAGAAGATCTGCACAGCCACCATGTACTTCCCTTTGGTGCTTAGGTAGGTGGGTACAAAGGAGATCCAGACACTGCAGAACACCAGCATGCTAAAGGTGATGAGCTTGGCTTCATTGAAGGCCCCAGGCAGATTTCTGGCCATGAAAGCTACAGTGAAGCAGATGATAGCCAGGAAGCCCATGTAGCCAAGAGCAAGGTAGAACATGACAACAGAGCCTTGATTACATTGCAGGATGATCTCTGCAGATTGTGAGTACATGTCTGACTCAGGGAATGGGGGAGAAGTGCCCAACCAGATGCTGCAGAGGACTATTTGCACAACAGAACAAGAAATGATGATGGAGCTGGCCAGGCTCTTCCTTAGCCATTTCTGTACTTTATTCCCTGGTTTTGTGGCCAAGAATGCTAACACCACCATGATAGTTTTGGCTAAGACAGTTGAAATGGCAACTGAGAAGATGTTGCTGAATGCTGCTTGTTGCAGAAGGCAAGTGGCTGTCTTTGGCTGGCCAATGAAAAGGAAAGAGGTCAAGAAGGAAACAAAGAGAGAGATGAGGAGGATGTAGGAGAGATCCCGATTGTTGGCTTTGACTATAGGAGTTTCTTGGAATTTAATGAAGATTCTCAAAATTAAGCTGGTTACCAAAGACAGGAACATGGTAAGAAAAGCCAAGATGATCCCTAAATTTTCTTGATAGGATAGGAAAATTTCAATCTTAGGTATACAGTCATTTTGGTTGATATTTGGATGCTGATATGCTGGACATTTGGTGCATTTTTCAGCATCTGAAAAGAGACGGGGGGATTTAAAAAATTTCATTTCTCAAGAGATGCCAAGAAAATTTTTAGTGGTTGACCAGTAAAGAAGTTGAAGGGCAAGAAATGTCCTTCCCGGTATGAAAGCCAAGCTTTCCCATATCTTTTATTAACCTGCACCCAATTTAAATTCCAATATTAATTTTATATCTCACTATGTAATAAATATTAAAAGAAATTGTTCTTCTTTAAACCAGGATTTAAAATGCCAATGAAAACAGCCCATTAAAAGGTCAGGATCGAGAGTCTTCCCAAATACCAGACCTTTTACTTTGGTGTCACCCACCATCAATGGTGGAGATGGTTCCTTCTGCACAAGGAAGACAGGCGTAGCAACAGATGGGCCTCCCTTCCTGAGCCACCTTCATGAATCCAGGATGACAGCTTTCCACACACCTGGAAGGAGGCAGGGGCTAAGGAAAGAGGAACAATACACAGAAAATGAAATTATTTTCAGGAAACTGGCAATGGCAAAGGTGGGTGACCTCCAGTGTGACTAATTAAAAGCCAACAAACATTCTGAGCAGCAAACAGACAGTAGCAAACACACGCTAGTCCCAAAAACCTTTTATTTTATTTCAACGGCTGTGAATTATATGCATTCATAGCCCATAATGAGTCCCAAACAGTTTATGAATAGTCCAACGCAAATCTTCCACAATCCTTCTGGATAAGGCTGATAAGTGTACACCTTTATCTTCCTTGCTGCCAATGACTAAATTGCCAATTAGCTGTACAAGGCCAAATGGAGCACAAGTCAACATGGAGCTTCAGACTCTAAACTAACCAAAACAAACAAAGTTGCTTCTTTCAAAGGATCATGTCCCTTTGCTCCTCCTTTATGTCTTATGGGAGGGGCCAATCACCTCCAAGCCTTACTCCCAAGTCGCCCCTTTTGTCTTAACTGTTCTTGCCTTCTGGCAGCTCTGCAAAAGCACACACTGGGAACAGGCTCCCTCTGTTCCTCTGCCTCACTGATGTCAGATTTTGGGGGCTCCAGAGTCAGCACATAACTCCCTGATTGGCCCTGGCCCCATGTCTGTGTTGGATGCAGATCCCTCATCTGAGCCCTCCACAGGCTCGAGGACCGGCCCCTGTTCCTCCCCACTGTCTGACTCTGCTGCTAGCTCCACAGGCCACCTGCGGACCACAACAGTGTGAACTATGTTATCTGCATGACTTGCTCAATCGATTTTTATTTCCTCAGATTCAATGAAAATTGAAGGTGGTATTTTTCATGGCCACCTGATTAGCCGATAAAATTTCTCTAGGTTTTTAGTGTCAAGGATCAGTTGAAATGAAAACTAAAAGACAACCTCCCCAAAGAATTTCAATCCTGTTTTCACCACCTTCAGTAGAATAATAATAATAAAATGATTCTCACCTTATTCAACATTTCTTTCTGTGCAGTACTCTCCTGGTCAAGGGTAAACTTCAAAATGTGAGCTGCCCTTTTTTCTATACTCCCAAATTTCATTCTCTTGACAGACCTATTAGGGAAAACAATCCAGTTCACAATATCCAGATCAGCACTGAGATGTCCTTTCTTTTCAAAATATACTCCTTCTATGGAATTATTGTGAAACTGAGCGTTTTGAAGGAAGGAGTGAAGCTGGAAAAGACAACAAAAGGAGAATTATAAAGGACTTTACATTCTTTGAAAAGATCCTTGGTTTATATATGTATAAAAGAAGAGACAGAAATCACAATCTCTGGAACTAAAACTACAGTATATTGTCCACTTAGCTTTCGTTAGCCTCTGCTAACATTGTCAGAGTGTAAACCTACCATTGAAGAGATAGCTATACCCAATGGTGGCTCAGTGGCTAAGACACCAAGCTTGTCGATCAGAAAGGTTGGAAGTTCAGCAGTTCAAATCCCTAGAACCGCGTCATAGAGTGAGCTCCCGTTACTTGTCCCAGCTTCTGCCAACCTAGCAGTTCGAAAGCATATAAAAATGCAAATAGAAAAATAGGGACCATTTTGGTGGGAGGTTAACAGTATTCTATGCGCCTTTGGCATTTAGTCATGCTGGCCACATGACCACAGAGACATCTTTGGACAGTGCCAGCTCTTCAGCTTTGTAACAGAGATGAGCATCGCCCCCTAGAGCCGGAAATGACTAGCATGTATATGCAAGGGGAATCCTTACCTTTGTATTTATATGAATATCTCTGTTCAAAAACAAGGTTCTGTTTTGAGTTTCCAATTTGAATAGCAGACTATTAATAAGCACAGGAGTAACAGGTGCTAACACTGTGGCATTTGGAAAAGACTGAGCTGAAGTCTTCACTCCAGTCCGTGTTTCCAGCAGGAACACAGACCGTTCCTATTGAAACGGTCCTATTCCTATTTCTTGACAGCCAGCTATAAAAGGGAGCTGTCAAATGGCATCAGCTGTTGTCCGCCAGCTGGCTGCCTTGTTAGCGCGGCAGCCGTGGCAACCCTTTATTGTTACAATAAAGTAAAGCTGAAGTTCGCTCCATGTTCGCCTCAGGTTATTCCGCCACTCTACAACAAACATATTGTTTAAATATGTTGATTAGAACAATGATTATAAAGGACAGAGGTTTCACCATCTGGTCATGTTCCCATTCCCAATGCTATATCATAGTAATGCTAATATACAATTGCTCTAAAGGGAAGGAAACTAATTGTTACACATCATAGTTTGCCCACTGGCTCTTTGTATCCAGAATGAAAGAAATTCACCAATGAAACTTGTCTGATAGAAAAAAAAATACCTGCCAAACTTTCAGCCTTGAAGCTTCCATGCTATTCCTCTCTGATATCTTGGATATGGATATATAAGCTGAATTTAAGGCCCTTCCCAGCACCCAGATGGTGTTGTAAATGAGATAGCTGTCCAGAGCCAGGATCTGATCAATCTCTTCTTTCCTTAGAGAAACTAGATCTTCTCTCTGTTTGCACCGTCTCCAGACTTTTATCGAAAAGGAATCCTTAGCAAATGAACATGTATAAGATTTCTTCCAAAAATTCAGTATAGATTTGAGAAAGAGATTAAAAGCATCATAGCTCACCCATTTCCTTTTCTGCATTGAAAAGGAAAAAATGGCACCCACATATTTAAAGGAAAGTTTAGCATACATTAAGTCCACAGTGAGATCCCACTGAGCTGAGGTGATCCAAACTTTTTCTAAAAAATCTTGTTGAAAACCTTGAATTACTGTTTCTATAATCAGCATTCCAATCCAGAACGAACTCATCTCTGGACTGTAAACAAAGACATTGACTTGCCTCCACTTGTAATATTGTTCAAATGTTAAAACTATGTGATGCACACTTAGTGGAACACTTTGATATATAACTGTGCAAATGCCATTCCTTAACATTAAAGAAGACATTGCTCTCCTGAACTTCTCCCCCTGGTCAGTTTCTGGAGCAAGAAGACCAACCAAGGTCCACTTGAAATGAAGGAGAAGCTGGACCATCCCTGGGTACTGGACTCCTTCAGCAGGGAGCATCGAGTAGAAGAAAGGAAACTGAGTTTTATCCTTCAGAATCTGAGAAGAAAAACTGTAACTGATCTGAAAGGAATGGAAGACAGTAGTATTTTAAACGGAACAAGCAAGATTCAATTCTTATTTTTGTCACGATAAAATTCTATGTTTTTTATTTGATTAATTTGATTTGTCAATCACTTACAAGATAATAGGTATAATAATAAATATGAGTAGGTATACAGAAAATAGGTATGAATAAATGGGGACAATAGGACAGGGACGGTAGGCACGATGGTGCACTTATGCACGCTCCTTACAGATCACTTAGGAATGGGGTGAGGGCAATAGTAGATAGTTTAAGGGTAAAGGAGTGGGGGTTAGAGGATGTAACAACAGAGTCAGATAGTGCAGTCCAGGCATTGACCACTCTGTTGCTGAAGTTGTACTTTCTGCAATCGTTTGGAGCAGTTAACATTGAGTTTGTATCTGTTGTGCACTCCTGTGTTGTTGCAGTTGAAGCTGAAGTGGTCATTGACTGGTAGGACATTGTAGCAGATAATTTTGTGTGCTACGCCTAAGTCCAACCATAGGTGGTGTAGTTCAAGGTTATCCAAGCCCAAAATTTCAAGCCTGGTGGTGTAGGGTATTCTGCTGCGAGCAGAGGAGTGTAGTACTCTTCTCGTGAAGTACTTCTGGACTCACTCAATTGTATTAATGTCTGTTATACAGTGCGGATTCCAGACAGATGAGCTCTATTTGAGTATTGGTCTAGCAAAGGTTTTGTAAGTCCTAGTTAGCAATTCAGTATTACCAGAGGAGAAGCTTCGTAAGATTAGATTACAACTCTTAATGCTTTTTGAAAATGCTTTTGCAGTGAGCTCTGGTGCCTAGGTCATTTGATATGAGTACTCCAAGGTCTTTGATAGAGCGAGGGTCATCAACACAGTCATATCTGCCTAGCTTGTATTTGGTGTACTGGTTTTTTTTACCAATGTGTAGAACAAAGTATTTGTTGGTTGAGATTTGGAGTTGCCAAATGTTTGACCATTCAGACACATGATCAAGGTCACTTTGAAGAACAGTAGCATTGTCCACAGCATTGAATAGTTTTACCTCATCAGTGAAGAGGGCGCAGTTGCTTATAAGGTGATCACAAAGGTCATTTATATAGAGTATAAAGAGTGTGGGTCCTAAAATGCTACCTTGAGGGACACCGCTGTTAACTGGTGCAGGGTTTGATAGGACATTCCCTTCTTTTACTATTTGTTGCCTGTTTGACAGGAACACAATAATACACTTATGAAGGGATTCTCTTCTTCACTGCCAGCAGAAGATCTCTGACTTAAAGTTGCTTGAGTGAAAACTGTCTTCTAAGAGAGACACACCTGAGGGATTTTGTAGGTTCCCAACAAAGTTGATATCTGGATGGAGATGCCAGTCTCAGCCCCTTCCAGAACAGCCACTGTGTTTCTCTGCCTTCCACATCTATAGTTGGGAACATTGGCCTCTCCATCAGAAAGCACGTCCAATAAAGGGTCTGAAGTCATTTCTATCTTGAAGAAATTTTCATAGATGTTATAACCCAAGGTGATGTTAGGTAAGAAATCAGCATTCTGGTTGATATCCTTGGTAGCATAAAGAAAGGGCAAAAATTTCCAAAAGCGTTTATATCCCTTTCTGCAGATATGAACATATAAATGAAACATTCAAACTGTGGACATAGAAAGAGAATGAAACAAACAAAAAGATTTTGATCGTATAGTAAAGGTACACTAAAAGTTGATTACACTAACAGAACTTTCATTTCATTAGTTGGTTTCAAGGATTTTATCCCATATTTGATGTCTTTTAATAAAAATACAAGATATCTGCACATAGCTTCTATATTTCAGTTCTAAGATTATTTTAAATTGTATTAAATTTTTAGATTCCGAATGGCCAAAGTAGTTATAATTATTATAGAATCAAAATCACATGAAATATTAGTACTGCTTTATAATAATAGGTATTCATTTAACATCTGAAATACTGTATCCAGTTTTGCTCACCACATCACAAAAAAGATGTTGAGACTTTGGAAAAAGTATGAAGAGAAGCAACCAAGATGATTAAAGGCCTGAAGACAAAACATATGAAGAACTGTTGCCCGACTTGGTGATGGCTAGTTTATTCTTAGTAGGTTATTCCTGACATTATCATTATTCATGCTATTGGATCAAGATTTCAGATTGATTATGAAGATTCTCTGTCATTCAGGTAGACTTGTCTGGAAGTGTGGCTCTAGTGCAGTGCACAAAGATTTACTTACTCAATGCACTTTGTTGAAGGACTTCTGTCGAAGGTTAATGATTGAAACCTAACATCCATTGCAGAGACTATGCCACTAATAAAATAATCTCCTGGCTTGTAAAGATTATGCGCATCCATTTCACCCTGTTCTAGAGTAAGGAGGCATTTGGCTTTGGGTATCCCATAGGCCCCCTGTGGCCACAGAAGCAGCAGAAGTAGAATTAGCAGCAACATGACGTACTCCTGATTGAGCCTTCTATGTTGCATCTGCTTTTTGAACAAAGAATGAGAAGAAGAGTTGGAAGAAACCAAAACCTCTAGAAAGACAGAAGTTTCAGATCAAGACAAGGACCAGCTAATGGAAATACACATAGGCTCTGCTTGTCCTGAAACCATGCCCAGATTCTATCTCTGCCCCTTGAGCCATTTATCTTTGATTTATCTCTGTCCCTTGAGCCATTTATCTTTGATGTAGACTCCACCCAACAATGCTTTTGAATCTGATATCAACATCAAAACATTTTTGACATTGGTGTTAATATTTTTTGTGAGTTTTACATCTTTAGGGATTTAAGATAAAGTCAACAAATTAATTACTATGGTTCAGATAATGGCAAGGAAAAGAACCATCACCTCTCTGAACTCTGAACAAGTCAACAGACAGGTGCCCAAAGGGGCCTTTGAGGGGGAATGGAGAAGTTGGCCCCAAATCTTTCCAATAAAATGATTTTGGGAAATCTAGGATCAGTAGAGACTTTTTAGAATGGTCACAAAGAGTGATATCTTAATACGAATTTACTTAGTTTCTGGAAAGATGAAGACAGAAAACATTTTTGTAAGTATTTTCTATGTTCTGTCATAACATTTCCTCAGAAGGTGGATTTTGTAACTTCCTGCTTCTGACCAGTGCTGATTCAAAGACTAGATTGTAGGACAAGGTTCGTTTCTTTTCTGGATCTTCTTCCTCCCTTTGTTCAGCCCATGCCTCCTTCCAGATGTGTGAAATGCTATCATCCAGGATTTGTGAAGGTGGCCCAGGAAGGAAAACCCATGTGCTCTATTCCGTCAGAATAGAGTTGGAAGGGACCTTCAAGGTCTTCTAATCCTAACTCCATCCCCAGCCAGCTGGTCATTCAGGAAAATAACTGGTTGTTAAATTATTTGAATCCCACAACTGCTCTGAAGAACTTCTAGTCCAACTCCCTGTTCAAGCAAGAGACCCCATACCATTTCAAACAAGAGATTGTGCAATGTCTTCTTAAAAACCTCCCGTGATGCATCTTCTGAGAACAAAGTTCTCCACTGGTGAAGTGTCCTCACTGTTAGGAAGTTTCTCCTTAATTCCAGGTTGCTTCTCTCCTTGATTAGTTTCAATCCATTGTTTCTTGTTCTGCCCTCTGGTGCTTTGGAAAATAAGTTGATCCCCTCCTCTTTGTGGCAACCTCTCAAATACTGGAATACAACCATTATGTCCCCCTTAGTCCTTCTTTTCTCTAGATTAACCAAACCCAAATCCTGCAACCATTCTTCATAAGTTTTTATCTCCAGGCTCTCAGGGCTAGTTATCAGGGCTCCAAAAGTTCCCCCCATTCAAATCATGAGTCTCTAGCCAAACTTTCAAAACTTAAAGAAGATTTATTTGGAGTAAACATGCCGGTACTGCCTGGGTGTAGCCAACTGAAGCACATCATTCATTGTCACTCTTGATCCTCATTTTCCCCCACCCCCTGAGTGTATCATGATTCATATTCTCTATTAATGTAAATTTAAACTTAAGAGGAAAAGACTATAGATATTGTGTACATGAAATATGTACCAACCGACACACTGTATAGTTGAAAGAAGGTTTTATTTGTTGTTTTATGTTTATGTTTGTCCATGTTTGTTGTTAAAAATAAAAAACATTTTATAAAAAAATAGTAATTCATATTCTCCAGTGGGACACATCCCTAGCCAAGAGTCATAAATCATACTCTCCAGTTAGAATTTTGCATGGCAGAAACTTCGGTCACCTAGAAACTATCTTTGAAAACATTGATGGAATGAACGCTGCTCACTGCTTCCCACTCCCTTTCTGTTGGTAACTCTAAAAAGACCATATAAATATTTTATGAATTGACATAGCCCTTTAATCATCTTAGTTGCTCTTCTCTGCACTGTTTCCAAAAGTCTCAATATCTTTTTGTAATGTGATGACCAAAACTGGATGCTATATTCCAGGTATGACCTTACTAAGGCTTTATAAAGCAGTACTAATACTCCATGTGATTTTGATTCTATGCTTCTGCTTATACAACCAATCATTGTGTTAGCTTTTTGGACTGCTGCCACACACTGCTGGCTCATATTTAAGTGACCGTCCCTTAGGACTCCTAGGTCCCTTGCACAGAAGGAATCATCTCCACCTGGGAAGGTGTCTGAGACCAGAGGGTCTAAGGCAGGTGGTCTCCAACCTTGGCAACTTTAAGACTTGTGGACTTCAACTCCCAGAGTTCCTCAGCCAGCAAAGTCTAAGGAGATTTTCGATCATTCAGGTCATGGTTGTCCCAAAAGTGCTTTTCCAAATGGCAATTGGACTTTGGAAAAGCACCTTTGGGGCTGAGACAAGAAGAAACTGGCAGACCTTGAAAAAGACCACTCAGCAGGCATTT